CTCGTATTTATTTACACACACCTTCCTTTTCTAACATACCTTTCACTTGTGGTCACCCACAAATACTACCCCCTCTGCTGACGTGTACTAAACCCAGACAGATCAAGAGAACTAACGTTAAAACTCAGCAGATTGTTTTTAACAGTGGAAGTGGAGCTGGAGACAGCAGTACCCTCTAAGGTGATGAGACTAACAAACTGGTGATGACAAATTCACTGAGCTAATGCAGATCACAGCAGCAACTCAGGGCTGAGAGACTGACCCTGTGTGTGGTCCAATAGCCGTAGAAGAACTAGAGCCCCTCCCTGTCTCAAAGGAGCGTCAAGTCTCCCAGAAGAGAGGGACATCAGATGTAGCTTCCAAATACACTGAGGTGAAGCTAGCCAGCAGAGACAACCTTCCAAATGGCAGGCTGGTTGTCACTGTACCTTCAGGTAAGAAAGGCCATCTGTCCCACAATGTTCATAAAGACTGGAATATTCCTACCTTTAAATACTGATCTCGTGCCACAACCACAATATAGTGTCATGGTGAACACCTGTACACAGTAGGTACCCAGTCAAGGATGGGACCAGCTTTCATCTCCAACAGATACAGTGAGTTATCAAAGACATTGGTTCCTCTCTTATAACTAAGATAAACAGCATATTAGTTGAGTTTTGTACTTTTCCCTTTAATTTTGTTTCACACAGAAAAGCAAAAAGACACAAGTGGGAGGCAAATTATTACATAGAAGCTGAAGAGAGAAGCGGAGGAGAGAGTAGAATGAAGGCAAGGGGAGGACAAAGGAGAGAGGCATGGGGAACTTGATAGCTTTGCTATCTCCAAAGCCATGCACTGTCCAGTAAGACAACGAAGGAGAAAAAGATTTTCTTTCATTTTCTTTTCTGACAGCTGGGGCATAAATGGTGACTGCAATAATATCAGAAATTATTGGATATGTTGAGCATTCTTGCGAGTGAGGTGTCAGCATTACAACAAATCTGAAATATTGGCCCCAAGGTGCCCTAGACATTTTGTTTTTCCAATGCAGGAGTGTCACTTGCAGGAAAGGAGCGAAGCATACTGGCTAGTGAGCAACATGCTGGCCAGACACCATGTTTGGACAGCGTCACCCTGCACTCTGGGATCCAGCTTAGCCATCTTTTGCAAACAGTACTGGTCACAGTAGAGGTTTCTCCCAGAGATGATCAAAACTGAGAACAGTGTTTACAAATCACCAGCCCAGAACGGAACTCAGTTTCTGACATGCCACCTCTACGAATGTTTCAAGAAACTGGTCTGGCTCCATCTCAATGAAATTGATTACTTACAGCTCCAATCTAGTTAGCACCCATCTGAGGAGAGCACAGACAGCCCCAGAAATAAAAGCGTTCAACCCTCATCATTTTTGCAACTTTTAAAAATGTCCTCAGGTATATAAGACAATATTATCACTCTAATTTAATCTCCTGGTTATAAAAAGGCAACATTATAAAGCCAAGAATTGATAAGGCAAATATTTCATCCATAACAACATTTAAAGTGGATCTCAAACATCAAATAAACTCTAGAGACCCTTTCTATTAAGCTAAAGTCTACTTGCAGACAAGTCAGACTGACTTTTCCATATCAACCACGATCACTAGGTAGTATTGCCGTGCCCTAAAGCCTTTAGAACGGCAACATTTACACAGCCTGGCAATCACAGCTTGACGTGCTGAAGACTGTCTTCTGTCAAAACACTATGAAGGGACCAAAGGGACAGCTCAGTGGGTAAAGTGCTTGCCACTCAAGCATAAGGACTTGAGTTCAATCCCCAGCACCCACAAAAAGAGACAGACATGTTGACACGTTCATAATCCCAATGTTGGTAAGGTAGAGGAGGCAGGTGGATCCCTGGGGTTCACCGGCTAGCTGATCTGGCCTAGTTGTCAAGTTTCAGGTCAGTGAAAGATTCTGTCTCAAAGAACAAAGTGGAAGGCTCCTGAAGAAAGATACCCATGGTTGATCTCTGGACACACACACACACATGCGTGCGAGCGCGCGCACGCGCACACACATACACACGCATGCACTAGATTTTGTACATGGAAAAAGATGACTGTACTTTCATTATTTGTCAGAACTTCTATGATCTGTATTAGAGAATCACAATGGAGAGAGACAGCAAACAAGGAATTCGCACAGGGCAGCATTCCTGTGTATTCTACACTGGTAACCGTTTACAGTGCTGCAGTCCTCCCCAGGGTGTTTCTAGGAAGTCGTCTATAACCCATGAAGACAGAGTGGAAACAACACACATCTGTCTCGAGTGTCTGAGCAGAGAGCATTATGCTGGGGGCAGGCAGGAGGAGAGGGAAAATGCCATGAATCTGGCCACTTCAGATCACACGTTCAAGAATTGCACTTCAGCAGTGAAGGAGAAGTGGAAAATTGGCATCAGTCAATAAAACAGCAATTTCTCTCCCTCTACTCTCTCAGCCATTATTGAGCAATGCCCTGTTAGGACTAAAGGTCTTGGCTGAACCTTTGGTTGACTTCCTTATTAATTAGTACTGCAACAAGAGTCTATTCCTTCATGAAGGGGGAGCTGTTGAAATTTCCTAAAACAAATTCGCCCTACACACCTCTTCAATTACACACACCTCTTCAATTACTTTGCTAGTCATATGAAAAAAAAATGGCCTCCACAGAGAAGTTATCAAGTGATAAGCCCACAGAAGACATGGTGCCAACGTAAAACAACAGAAAAGCCATGATGTCCTGTCCTATGTGTTTATACACACAGACCATGTTACACAATGACTAGCAAATGATAATGACTCTAAGTGTTTATGACCTACCCGGCATTGTTTAAAAATTATTACTTATGTCACGACAAACTTACACACATACACACACACACACAAGTTCAGACAATTCAGACAGACTTTAAATCCATGGCTAGACATTGTAAGATTTACTGAACTTAGCTTTGTTTATCAATCACATTTCATCTGGCAATTTTTCCCTGAATATTTAATGAAATAAAGCTGTTTTTAAAAAATTAAAATGTTGGGCTGGAGAGATGGCTCAGTGGTTAAGAGCATTGCCTGCTCTTCCAAAGGTCCTGAGTTCAATTCCCAGCAACCACATGGTGGCTCACAACCATCTGTAATGAGGTGCCTTCTTCTGGCCTACAGAATATTGTATACATAATAAATAAATTTTAAAAAAATTAAAATGTTATGTAGAGGCAGAGTCAGGAAGGTTGCTGCAAGTTCAAGGCCAGCCAGGGCTACATAGTGAGACTGTGTCTCAAAGGGACGAAACAGTTAGATTCTCTCCATGAAACCTCCATGAAGTCTATACACTTAAATTTAAAACTAATAGCAATTTGAGACTATGAACTTATAAAGTCAATTCAAAATCAGTAATCTGAGACTTAAGAACAACAAATAATCAAATAATGATATCAAAGTCACCTGTCAGTGGCTTATAGGCAAACAGGAAAAGAGGGCAGCTGTGTTACTTAACAGACATAGCTTACTATCGTTAATTTCCCCTCGAAAAAGTGCACTGCATATACTCCTAGAATCGATTTTCAGATTCTCACATCTCGCATGTTACAACATTCAAAGTCATTCCAAATAAAATAAAATATTGCAATTTACTTTAAAGCACCTAGATGCCACCAGAACATTCTTTTTCTCTGAACCAACTCTCCATTTAAAATCTTCTCACACCCAGTTACTGCACTCAGTGTCAGAATAGAATAGTAATGACTTAGGTTCGAATACATAGGAATCTCCATGCATCTATTTGGATAAAAATAGTAAAATAGTCACCTAGTCCCTTGATTTTTTACTTCTTCATTCTGTGGTGTCTCAGACACATCTGACTGCCTTTACCAGTATACGGAATAGCACTATCCACAGGCTACAGGATAAGCAGCTGACATTGAGTCTGGGTTCTATGTGTCTGCTTTTAGAGCAACCATGATATTCCCTCCAGCCCGTTCCTCACTACCTTCTAATGTCTCTGGGCCACAGAAGTAAACGCTGGAATTCTTCATGGGTTAAGACAGCACACAGTCTTTCTTCTATATGCACAATCAATTCACATCTCATCCTGGATTCAGGGGGCTCCTGCTAATCAAAATCCTTAATGACATTCTTGACCTCAGTGTGTGATTTCCAGTTGTCATTGTCAGCTAACAAAATCTAAGTTGATACACACCCTAGGCAACACGCTTAAGAAAAACAATCCCAGTAAAAACTACAAGAGGAAAAATCAACGCAGAACTTGCATAAAGAATACTGCATCCTTAATTTTAGTAAGCTTGTTGATTATTGCCATCTTGAAGTTATCAAAGCAACCACTCTAAAACACAAGTGAAACCCAAATGTGTTTGTAGCTCGATGCCTAGAAGTTTGATGCTGAAAGCATAGCAGAAATCTGTCAGATATGTTTGTGGAAGGGGGAAGCTGGATTGCACAGATTTATCCCATGGACATCCGACCCTAGGGTGTAGATGCTAATGATTAAAACACCAGAAATAATACAAAGTACAAAATTAGGTTAAGACCAACGGAACTAGAGTCATTTAGTTGTGAGTAAACTCATGAAAGCATATACATCCACGAATATACTCATTCTTGCCACAGATCTGCCAAGTGGTCTCCTTATATTTTTAAAGTATGGTACACTTGAGAAATTATTATAATCTAAATGTTTGGAAGGGGTACTAGGAAAAGCCTTTGGAAATTACAAGGGGTGATATTAAATCAGGAGGAGCAAACAAAACTCATTGAATGGTCAAACGCGCAGTGATTCCTAAGGACAGGTGACCCTAAACAATCAGCAAGGAATATGCCAGGTCTCAACTACTTCTTACTACTTGGAAGCATCCAATCGTCTTCTAGTACAGTACATAATCATTGATGATCTGGGAATTCACAAAATTGATAAATACTCTGATTCAAATAAAGGACATAGAAGGGAACCTCCCTTTTCTGAGGGAAGTGCAGAATTCTTACCTTTCTGTATACCAGCATGTTCGGTGATTCGTCTGCCACCCCGTTGCTGGTCTGTCCATAATTATTCCCCTGAGCCATTTCACCCAGAACTTGGTCCCTTCTTTGCGAGGATGATCAGTCCGCCCTGCAAAGGATCAGAGAGGCTCCAGTGAGATCCTGGTGGGAGTCCTCAAGAGAACAGACTCCCCTGACTCATCATCATGTCCACAGTACCCAGTCCACGGGGAGAATTCTCCCATCTCCGGGCTGACTGGAAGGACACGGGACATAGACTTAAAAAGAAAGAAAAAATAGAAAAAGGAAAAGGAAAAGGAAAAGGAAAGCGTTCACAGCTGTAGCAGCCCCAGGGAATTTTAACGGACAGCCTTCCAATGAGAAACAGTCATCTGGCTAAGGTTTCTGTGGGCTTCATTTTGTGGACACTCTTTTTGAAAGTGTTAAGTACTCACTTAAAACCCGTGGTTTGCACTTCTCTAGTACCGACAGCTCTCTGGGATGCTTGCAGCTCCACTTGATGTGGTTCTCCCCAAAGGGTGGAAAGCCAACACCCACGGCAGCCCACTTTCTCCCCGTAGCCCAGTAGTTTCCCATGACAGGCACGTCAGAGGCCCCTTCCCCACAAGTGTTCTCCTGCACACGTCTCCTCTCCATTCCTCGGGTCCCCCACACAGCCTGGGCAGAGGCTTCTCCACTTTCACCTGCCTTCACAGCCAGCCCATGGCTCCTCTGCTGCTCCCACCTCACTCGGATCACTAAGTCTGAACCTAATCCTTACTGATCTTTGGAAGAAAGCATCCGAATTAGGTTCAGGCAACCGGAGGTTGGTGAGAAGTCGAGCCTTGAGCAAATCACCTGGCACACCGCAGAGAGCAAGCTAACTGCACAAGCCTGGAGCGATCAGTCAGGAGCGCAGAAAAAGCTGAGTCCCAGCTCATCCTGCTCGGCCCTCGCTCTTGGCGGCAGCAAATGGCAGGCAGGCAGGCAGGCAGCCTTGCCCCGCACCGAGGCACCGGCGGCACCGGGCAGCAGTTTCAGCACCGTGGACCGCGGCGTGCG